GCAGTCCCAAACTTGCAAGGAACCTCCACCATGCTTCACAGTTGCCTGCACACACTCATTATTGTACCACTCTCCAGACCTTCCTCCAACTAACTGCCTCCTGCTACAGTCAAATATTTCACATTGCCTGTTCAATAGTTTTTATTGAAGTTTTTACAGCACAGAGTCCTGCAACTGCAGGTTTGCAAGAAAAAAGAAACGTAACAATAAGGACAAGAACTAGAGTTTGCTTCACAGGGCTGGTAGTATGCATTGTTACATCACAAAATAGTATGTACAACAGAGATTGATCTCTAGGGAGCAGGGGTGGACTGACTATTTGGAAGCTCAGGCACTGCCTGAGGGCCTGGGGTCAGTAGGGGGTCCCATGAGATACTCCTCAACATTACCAGACCACTGCGTGTACACTCCTCAACATTACCCGATCACTGTGTCTACACTCCTCAATGTTACCCGACCACTGCGTCTACACTCCTCAACATTACCAGACCACTGCGTCTACGCTCCTCAACATTACCAGACCACTGCGTCTACACTCCTCAATGTTACCCAACCACTGCGTCTACACTCCTCAACGTTACCCGACCACTGCGTCTACACTCCTCAACTTTACTCGACCACTGCGTCTACGCTCCTCAACTTTACTCGACCACTGCGTCTACGCTCCTCAACATTACCAGACCACTGCGTCTACACTCCTCAACGTTACCCGATCACTGCATCTACACTCCTCAATGTTACCCGACCACTGCGTCTACACTCCTCAACATTACCCGATCACTGTGTCTACACTCCTCAATGTTACCCGACCACTGCGTCTACACTCCTCAACATTACCCGATCACTGCGTCTACACTCCTCAACGTTACAAGACCACTGCATCTACACTCCTCAACTTTACTCGACCACTGCATCTACACTCCTCAACGTTACCAGACCACTGCGTCTACACTCCTCAACGTTACCTGACCACTGCGTCTACACTCCTCAACGTTACCAGACCACTGCGTCTACACTCCTCAACGTTACCCAACCACTGCGTCTACACTTCCTCAACGTTACAAGACCACTGCATCTACACTCCTCAACTTTACTCGACCACTGCATCTACACTCCTCAACGTTACCAGACCACTGCGTCTACACTCCTCAACGTTACCTGACCACTGCATCTACACTCTTCAACGTTACCAGACCACTGCGTCTACACTCCTCAACGTTACCAGACCACTGCGTCTACACTCCTCAACGTTACCCGACCACTGCGTCTACACTCCTCAACGTTACCCGACCACTGCGTCTACACTCCTCAATGTTACCCGACCACTGTGTCTACACTCCTCAACGTTACCTGACCACTGCATCTACACTCCTCAACGTTACCAGACCACTGCGTCTACACTCCTCAACGTTACCTGACCACTGCGTCTACACTGCTCAACGTTACCAGACCACTGCGTCTACACTCCTCAACGTTACCTGACCACTGCGTCTACACTCCTCAATGTTACCCAACCACTGCGTCTACACTCCTCAACATTACCCAACCACTGGGTCTACACTCCTCAACGTTACCAGACCACTGCGTCTACACTCCTCAATGTTACCCAACCACTGCGTCTACACTGCTCAACGTTACCCAACCACTGCCTCTACACTCCTCAATGTTACCCAACCACTGCGTCTACACTCCTCAACGTTACCCAACCACTGCATCTACACTGCTCAACGTTACCCAACCACTGCGTCTACACTCCTCAACGTTACCCAACCACTGCGTCTACACTCCTCAATGTTACCCAACCACTGCGTCTACACTCCTGAATGTTACCCAACCACTGCGTCTACACTCCTCAATGTTACCCAACCACTGCATCTACACTCCTCAACGTTACCCAACCACTGCGTCTACACTCCTCAACGTTACCCAACCACTGCGTCTGAATTGATGCTGATTGAAGGGTAGTCACACCAAATATTGATTTGATTATTCTTATGTTTGTTCAGTCTGCGTTTTGTAAATTTATAAAAACAAAAACAATTAAAATATATTTTATTGAAGGCATTCATACTTTACAGCATTTCTTCACAGCTGTCTATAACTGCACCATACTGTGTGTGTGTAATATAAATAAATAAATATAGCCATACCTACCTCTACAGAGGGACCAGACTGCACCCAGGTTTGTTCATCATAACGAGATTTAGTTAGATTTGAGAGGGCATATTCTTGGCTTTTAAAATGATAAAAAAAAAAAATTATATTAAAGTTTCAGTACAACAGTATCACGTATCACGTTATCTCAAACTTGTGCTGTCCACTTAAAGTGTATCAAAAGCCAAAACTATTTTTTAGGTTTGAATAGAGTACAGAAAGGTTAAAGGATAAGTTGACCTCATGGAACCTAACTTAAACAGGTACTCTTGACATCACGGGGGGGGGGAGGGCTTGTGACGTTACAATGCTTGCGATCATTAGAGGACGGAGATACGAGTAAAATGTATGGATCCATGTAATGGTTTACAATGCTGATTATATGTGGTGTGATGGAGCACCTTTAAGTTTTAATAAACTAATGTTTTATAAGGATAAATAACTATTTGTTTTTCATATATTTTTATGTGGAGTGGAGGAAAAAGAGGAGAAGGAGGTGCTAAGAGGAGGTGATCTATTTATCTTAAGACATTCCCTCCCAAGGATCATCGCTACCCTAGCCCATTTAAAGGGGCATTGTTTGACCAAGCATTTTATGTGAGGTCAAAACATTCAGGTGAGGGCACAAATGAGGTGTTCATTGAAGGAGCACAAACATTCAGTGGTGAAGATAATTTTATATATATATACAGTTGTGTTCAAAATAATAGCAGTGTGTTGAAAAAAGTGACTAAAGCTGAAAATCCTTCTAATCCTTTTATTTCCATCCACACAAATGCATTGGGAACACGACACATTCTATTCCAAATCACAGCATGAAGAAAAATACATCAAATTTGTGTTGTTCCTCTAAAAAAATGGAAGAAAAGTGAATATTAGACGGTTCAAAAAAAAATGGCCGTGTTTGTATTCTTCTTTACAAACTCCAACATTCACTATATAAACTGAGAAATGTTTGAAGATTTTGCTTTCCTTTGAATGACTTCATGAATATTTGGTTGTAGTCGCACTGTTTCTGAGAACTGCTGTACATCTGTGTTGCATGGAGTCCCCCAACTTCTGGCTCCTGTGATCAGGTATTCCAGCCCAGGATGATTGGACCACATTCCACAGTTCTTCTCTATTTCTTGGTTTTGCCTCAGAAACTGCATTTTGGATGTCACCCCACAAGTTTTCTATTGGATGAAGATCCGGGGATTGGGCTGGCCACTCCATAACGTCCATCTTGTTGGTCTGGAACCAAGATGTTGCACGTTTACTGGTGTGTTTGGGGTCGTTGTCTTGTTGGAACACCCATTTCAAGGGCATTTCCTCTTCAGCATAAGGCAGCATGACCTCTTCAAGTATTCTGATGTATTCAGACTGATCCATGATCCCTGGTATGTGATAAATAGGCCCAACACCGTAGTATGAGAAACATCCCCATATCTCGATGCTTGCACCACCATGCTTCACGGTCTTCACAGTGTACTGTGGATGGAATTCAGTGTTTGGGGGTCGTCTGACAAACTGTCTCCGCCCACTAGACCCAAAAAGAACAATCTTACTTTCATCAGCTCACAAAAATGTTGCCCCATTTCTCTTTAGGCCGGTCAATGTGCTCTTTGGCAGATTGTAACCTCTTCAGCACACGTCTTTTTCCCAACAGTGGGACTTTGCGGGGACTTCTTGCAGATAGCTTGGCTTCACATCGGCGTCTTCTAATTGTAACAGTCCTCACAGGGAACGTCACACCTTCTTTCATCTTCCTGGAGCTGATTGTTGGCTGAGTCCTCACAGGGAACGTCACACCTTCTTTCATCTTCCTGGAGCTGATTGTTGGCTGAGTCCGCCCCATGTTGGCTATTCTTCTATCCATTCCAATGGTAGTTTTTCGCTTTATTTGCCATGTAGAAATATCATTTCTACCAAAAACAGTGATTGATCCGGTTAGTGATGTCTGACTGCTAGTATTTTGAACACAACTGTATATGAGCACGGATATGGAGTTGAGAAGATGATGTCATAATATACAAGAAGAGATTATATTTAAAAAGAACTGAGAGGACTCGCATAACAATTGAAACACTGTTTTTTTTATTATTGGTGTTGTCCACATAATAATAGTTTTTTTGTTGATATTTGAGAAGCACGGCACTATTATTATTTAGTTTGAGAGCTTTGGGAGCATGATACATGTTTCACCCGTTTTTAGGGTGGAGCCTTTACCATGTTCTCACTGCTGCAGCCGCTGGCACCCGCTGTCTCTCTCCTTGTGAGAACAGTACAGCGACAAATCTCCCTGTACTGTCTTTCACCTTTTGAAAACAGCGTGGCCACCCATATGGAAGAAAAATATATTTGAAATACTACAATTTTGCCCATATGCAATATATACACATATATATATATATATATATATACATACACACATATATACACCATATGTCTTTAAAAATACAAATCTACATTTGTGGAATGCATTTACAATTATATGTGAAAATTCCTTTTTTATATGTTAAAAAAAAATCTGAAGAATACATTTAAAAAATATATTTTTAAAAATATATATATTTTTAAATATATTCTTCAGTTTTATTAACATATAAAAAAGTCATCTTACTATATATATTTTAACATATATTTGTAAATGCATTCCAAAAATGTATTTTCAAAGATATACGGTATACTTGAAATGTATTTTTAAAAATATTTTTCATATATTTTGTAATAAAAACGCATTTCATCATGCAATACACACACACATATATATATATATATCTATATATGTCCGGACACTTTCACCCCCTTCCAGTCCGGACACATCCCCCCCTTCCAGTCCGGACACTTCCCCCCCAGTCCGGACACTTTCCCCCCCTTCCAGTCCGGACACTTTCACCCCCTTTCCAGTCCGGACACTTTCACCCCCCTTCCAGTCCGGACACTTTCACCCCCCTTCCAGTCCGGACACTTTCCCCCCCTTCCAGTCCAGACACTTTCCCCCCCTTCCAGTCCAGACACTTTCACCCCCTCTTCCAGTCCGGACACTTTCCCCCCCTTCCAGTCCGGACACTTTCCCCCCCTTCCAGTCCGGACACTTTCCCCCCCCTTCCAGTCCAGACACTTTCACCCCCCCCTTCCAGTCCAGACACTTTCACCCCCCTTCCAGTCCGGACACTTCCCCCCCTTCCAGTTCGGACACTTCCCCCCCTTCCAGTTCGGACACTTCGGGACACTTTCACCCCCTTCCAGTCCGGACACTTTCACCCCCTTCCAGTCCGGACACTTTCACCCCCTTCCAGTCCGGACACTTTCACCCCCTTCCAGTTCGGACACTTTCACCCCCTTCCAGTCCGGACACTTTCACCCCCCTTCCAGTCCGGACACTTTCACCCCCTTCCAGTCCGGACACTTTCACCCCCTTCCAGTCCGGACACTTTCACCCCCTTCCAGTCCGGACACTTTCACACCCCCTTCCAGTCCGGACACTTCCCCCCCCTTCCAGTCCGGACACTTTCACCCCCCTTCCAGTCCGGACACTTCCCCCCCTTCCAGTTCGGACACTTCCCCCCCCCCTTCCAGTTCGGACACTTTCACCCCCCCCCTTCCAGTCCGGACACTTTCACCCCCTTCCAGTCCGGACACTTTCCCCCTTTCCAGTCCGGACACTTTCACCCCCTTCCAGTCCGGACACTTTCACCCCCCTTCCGGACACTTCACCCCCCTTCCAGTCCGGACACTTCCCCCCCTTCCAGTCCGGACACTTTCCCCCCCTTCCAGTCCAGACACTTTCACCCTCTTCCAGTCCGGACACTTTCCCCCCCCCCCCCGTATTCCAGTCCGGACACTTTCCCCTCCTTCCAGTCCGGACACTTTCCCCCCCCTTCCAGTCCGGACACTTTCCCCCCCCCCCTTCCATTGCGGACACTTTCCCCCCCTTTCCAGTCCGGACACTTTCCCCCCCCCCCCCCTTCCAGTCCGGACACTTTCACCCCCTTCCAGTCCGGACACTTTCACCCCCCTTCCAGTCCGGACACTTCCCCCCCTTCCAGTGCGGACACTTTCCCCACCTTCCTGTCCGGACACTTTCCCCCCTTCCAGTCCGGACACTTTCACCCTCTTCCAGTCCGGACACTTTCCCCCCCTTCCAGTCCGGACACTTTCCCCCCCTTCCAGTCCGGACACTTTCCCCTCCTTCCAGTCCGGACAATTTCCCCCCCCTTCCAGTCCGGACACTTTTCCCCCCCCCTTCCATTCCGGACACTTTCCCCCCCTTCCAGTCCGGACACTTCCCCCCCCCCCCCCACTTCCATTCCGGACACTTTCCCCCCCTTCCAGTCCGGACACTTTCCCCCCCTTCCAGTCCGGACACTTCCCCCCCTTCCAGTCTGGACACTTTCCCCCCTTCCTGTCCGGACACTTTCCCCCCTTCCAGTCCGGACACTTTCCCCCCTTCCAGTCCGGACACTTTCCCCCCTTCCAGTCCGGACACTTTCACCCCCTTCCAGTCCGGACACTTTCCCCCCTTCCAGTCCGGACACTTTCCCCCCCTTCCTGTCCAGACACTTTCCCCCCTTCCAGTCCGGACACTTTCCCCCCTTCCAGTCCGGACACTTTCCCCCCTTCCAGTCCGGACACTTTCACCCCCTTCCAGTCCGGACACTTTCCCCCCTTCCAGTCCGGACACTTTCCCCCCCTTCCAGTCCGGTCACTTTCCCCCCTTCCAGTCCGGACACTTTCCCCCCCTTCCTGTCCAGGCCAATTTTCAGATTACACACTTTGAATGACAATTCCGCAGTCATGCAACACTGTACCCATATGACATTTTTTAGCATTTTTTTGAGACAGATAAAACACTTTATTTTGGTGGTATTTATTCATCGTTGGGATTTTATTTGTTTACTACATAAATGAAAAAGTCAAAACATTTTGAAAAAAAGTGTTTTGTTTTATAAAATTTTGCAAATAAATAATCTTTCTTCATAAATCTTGGCCACAATTTATTCAGCTATCTTTTTAGTAAAAAGAAAATAACCCAAATTAGTTTATAAACAAAAATTATAATCGTTCAAAATTTTTTTTAACTTTTTTTTTATATTATTATTTATTTTATTTTTTACATACTGTCACCCTAGCAGTAGTATCACCATGGTGACACTGTACTACTTGTGGGGGGTGATGAAGATTTTTTTACACTGATTGCTTTTACACCCATAAAGGCTGTAAAAGCAATCACTTCTCCTTCTCTCTGGCTGCATTCCTGCAGCCATTGAGAAATACTGTGTAAGCTGTGATTGGTCACAGCTTTTCACATGGTACAAGGCTGTTGTGAATAGCCCTGTACCATGTGACCTCTGTGATCATTCACAGATTTCACAAGTAGTAAGCAGTGATATCAGAAGTGACATCTTGCTTAGTACTATTCATGTGATCACTGATTGGGGTTAACATGATCGGGACCTCACAGAGGTCCCATACAATGATCGGTGTTCCACTGTGTCCGGATAGGTTCCCCCCCCCCCGCCCCTGAAAAAAAGCCCACAGTTGACTATGCTTCAATTGTCATATATAAAACTTTCCAGTGTCAGTGAAATTTCAAAAATTCACAAATATCAAAATTCTAAAATTATTCATCCAAATTCTGATTCAAAATCACCATGTAGCTCCAAAAGAAGAAAAACTGGATAGTGTATTATCCTCAATAAAACAGTAATTAAATCATATAATAATAATTGAATCTAAAAAGAAAAACTTTCATGTGCAAATAAAAAAAACAAAAAAGTGAAGAACACGTGTGATAGTGAAGCACTCTGTGTACGCATCCATATACACATTCCTCTGTGAACACATCTAAGTGGCTGAATCACATATCCTCACCCTAATTAAATATTAAACAAGCCTCCAAAGATAGTAATCCAGAGAGAGTAATCCAGTGGAACACAGGGGCGGACTGATCATTTGGAAACTCGGGCACTGCCCGAGGGCCCGGGGTCAGTAGGGGGCCCCATGAGATGCCCCTGGTACCTTTATCATAGGCGTTTTGAGTTTGGGCAAGGACACAGGGGGCCCCATGATCCCCTATTGCCTGGGGGGCCCCATCAGTTGTCAGTCCGCCCCTGGTGGAACCTCACTCCAATATCCACAGGAATACCTTCAGATCCCAAATTAATCCTTCTTTATACTCCTGCCTTCATATTTCTCCATGTCACTCATAGATAGAAGAAATAACAGCCATATAATGTAATATATTCGAATTATAAAAAGATCCAGACTTTAATTAATGTGCTTACATTTAGAAATAGTTAAAAACACATATATTCCCATAACTCCACTTCAAGCAGCTTCCTGGAACGCCAAATGTGGTATAACCTCAATTAAGATGGCCGCTCCGCCACTTCCGGTTTTCCTGCAACGTCCACCGTCCAACATTCCTTGACGCGTTTCATCACTTTCTGACTTCCTCATAAGGGGTGTGTACGTTGGAGATAGGAAAAGACAGCTGCTAAAAAGTTTTCATATATTCACTTGCTTCCTCCCTTCAGTTATGAATGACCGAAGCCAAATCCTTCTTTCCCTCATGAACATGCAGATCAGTCATCATTTGTTAGACGCATTTCTGCTGAATTTGTTGTTGTATTCTGTCTCTCAGTGTTACACCGAACATTCCATTCCGATCATTTCTGTGTGAGGGGCGAACATTGTTAGACCGATCATTTCTGTGTGAGGGGCGAACATTCCATTGTTAGACCGATCATTTCTGTGTGAGGGGCGAACATTCCATTGTTAGACCGATCATTTCTGTGTGAGGGGGAACATTCCATTGTTAGACCGATCATTTCTGTGTGAGGGGCGAACATTCCATTGTTAGTGATCATTTCTGTGTGAGGGGCAAACATTCACCATCAGGGGGGAGCAAATACACATTTCCTTCACTGTATATCCCCGGACCCCGCATTCACTATATCCGCTCTCCCCGGACCCGCACTCACTATATCCGCTCTCCCCGGACCCCGCATTCACTATATCCGCTCTCCCCGTACCCCGCATTCACTATATCCGCTCTCCCCAGACACTGCATTCACTATATCCGCTCTCTCCCGGACCCCGCATTCACTATATCCCCTCTCCCCGGACCCCGCATTCACTATATCCGCTCTCCCCCCGGACCCCGCATTCACTATATCCGCTCTCCCCGGACCCCGCATTCACTATATCCGCTCTCCCCGGACCCCGCATTCACTATCCGCTCTCCCCGTACCCCGCATTCACTATATCCCCTCTCCCCGGACCCCGCATTCACTATATCCGCTCTCCCCGGACCCCGCATTCCTATATCCGCTCTCCCCGGACCCCGCATTCACTATATCCGCTCTCCCCGTGACCCCGCATTCACTATATCCGCTTTCCCCGGATCCCGCATTCACTATATCCGCTCTCCCCTGACCCCGCATTCACTATATCCGCTCTCCCCAGACCCCGCATTCATACTCTACCCAACCGTTTAACTCATATCCACTTCCCCGGATCCCCGCATTCACTATATCTGCTCTCCCCGGACCCCACATTCACTATATCCGCTCTCCCCGGACCCCGCATTCACTATTTCCGCTCTCCCCGGACCCCACATTCACTATATCTGCTCTCCCCCGGACCCCGCATTCACTGTATCCTCTCTCCACAGACCCCGCATTCACTATTTCTGCTCTCCTTGGACCCCGCATTCACTATATCCGCTCTCCCCGGACCCCGCATTCACTATATCTGCTCTCCCCGGACCCCGCATTCACTGTATCCTCTCTCCCCAGAATGGAAGGTGTGGGTGGTCTGAGGCATTCTCGGGTGACCGGAGTGGACACCATTGGTTGTGGACGAGGTGCAGGGAAAATGGCGGGGTCAGTTAGCCTTCTGTTGTCCTGGTACTCATCTGCCCAGCGACTAGCGTCAGCCAAGGTTAGGGGGTGTCTGTCCCGGACCCAATGTCTAACATCCCTTGGAAGTCCATTGTAAAACTTCTCCAGTAACAGCAGTTGCAACAGTTCCTCCAACTTGGTGATCTGACACCCTCTGACCCAGCTGCGGGCAGCGTGTTGTAACTGATGTCCCCATTCAGTGAAGGTGTCCTGGGGTTTCTTCTTTAGTGCCCGGAACTTTAAGCGGTATGCCTCTGGGGTGAGAGCGTAGCGGGCCAACAAGTGTTCCTTAACATAACCATAATCCAAGCAGTGGCTGTCGGGTACAGTCCTGAACACATGTGCAGCCCGACCAGTTAGCTTGCTGCTCAAAATGGGGACCCGGTCTTGGGCTGCCACACCATGGATAGTGCACAACCGTTCAAAGTCCTGAAGAAAGCTGTCAATGTCCCCATCTGCCTCTGAGAAAGTTTTAAAAGCAGCGTAGGGAATTTTCTTTGGTCCGGTTGCAGTCTGGAGAAGGCGGGAGGTAATCCCCTCCCATACCGAGTCCTCGGTTAATGACCGGGAGTGACTAAGCTGCAGTTGGGTGGCATCGTCTGGGGCCTTGGAAATCGGCGGAGGTGGGAGCGCTGCCAAACAGAGCCAAACGCCACTCCACCTCTTGTCATAAATCTGAGTGGTATAGGGGTCTCCGTACGGTGCTAAGCGGACCTGGTTTTTCAGGGGCCGATGAGCTGCTCTGTTCCTCCAACTCCTCCCGTGAAGTAGAGTTCACTTCTGTTGGAGTGGTGTTCGCTTCAAGCGTAGCGGAGTGTGCATCAGGTGAAGTGGGGTGCGCATCCGCTTGGTCCAGGGCCATAATCTAGGCCAACAGTTCCTCTCTGGTCTTGGAGCCAGCGATACCTCCCTGAGCGATAAGCAGGCTTTGGAGAGCTGGCTTCCGGAAGTCCCTTGCATCCATCTGGCCGAGCAGGGATGTCTCCATTAAAAAGATGGGGTCCCAGTTGGTGGTTTGGACTTTCTGTGCAATGAGGAAAGATCCCACCGCTGCCAAGCAGTTGTGGTGGAACCGTTCCGCCTGGGCTTCCTCATGCGTCTCAGCCATTGATCCCCTTTTCCGGCAAGTCTTCCAGCAAGTCTTCCGGCTGCCAAGGCGGGTATTAGAGCTCAAAGACAATCCTTCCCCGATATCCCAAACCATGAGTCGGAACTTCGTGTAGGGTGAATAAATTAATGCTTTATTGAACGCAGCTCAGTTTATACAGCACATCCTGGCAGTAATCCCTGCCCCCTTCACCCCCACCCCCACCAGACAGTCTGGCACTTGCTTTTCCACCACCCACAACAAAAATCCACAGCACAACATAACAGCACAGTATGAAATCTGGAGAAGTGAAAGACTACAAGGTCACATTCCCCTAAACCAGTGTTTCTCAACTCCAGTCCTCATGGACCCCCAACAGGTCATGTTTTCAGGATTTCCATTATTTTGCACAGGTGATTTGATCAGTTTCACTGCCTTAGTAATTACCACAGCTGTTTCATCTGAGGGAAATCCTGAAAACATGACCTGTTGGGGGTCCATGAGGACTGGAGTTGAGAAACACTGCCCTAAACAAACAGTGTAGAAGGTCTGTCTACATAACAGCTGCTAAACATATACAGCTTTTAAAAAGAAGATCACTTAATAAGGGGATAAAACCAGAACGGAAAAGGCAAAATGTTATCACAAAAGGGATGGTTCCTCACAATTGGGTATTCTTAGCAAAGGGAAGCTTCATCCCATTGACTAAGCTCTGGAGAAACTGCACTTGCAAAGTGCACAGTCTATTTGTCTTTGGTAAATAACCGCCTCTGTCTGCACTGTGTGGAAGCAGCCATGTTGGTAGAGGCAGGGTTTTGCTTCCTCATGTCAGAGTCTCCAGCAAGAAGAACAGTGAACAGCTCAGTAGAAGATTTACTAAATTGGGGACTCCTGCGGAAGGTGTTTAGGCAGGCTTGCAGAAAATGAAGAGCACAGGAAGGACTTCGCCAGTATGATAATCACTCATAGGCTAATGAACAAGAGCTAGTGATGTGATAACTGCAGCCACAGAAAGTTTAGCTTTGGATATAATAAAAGTGTCAACCTCAGCCCTCCTCATATGTGTTTTGAATTTCAAGCCAATTACTGCCAAATTGGCCAAGATTTTGGGCCATGGGTGGCCATGTTGACACCACCCAACTTCACCAACTTCGACTGAAAATAAGACGTTGGGTAGAAAATTGCCCTGTGAACACTGACTGCATCCTGTCAGATACAATCACTGCTCAGGTATTCAAAGAGCCCCAGGTGCTGCATCTGTCTGAATACAATAACTTTTAGAGGAGATCCCTCCATCCATGATGTTTAGTGTGGATTGAGCAATCTATTAGATTTACCATGCGCGCTGAACGAGAGCATTTTATGCGTGGATGGTGTTTTAAACAACCAGTGAGCCATTTAAAGAACCAGAGAAATATCAGTAAGAATGTCACACAAATGCTTGTCTTCTACATCATAGACAGGGGAAGTAATAAACTGACTGGAGGGGTAGGGCTACGGGGCAGAGGAAGCTACAATATACACTATATTGCGAAAAGTATTGGTCCCGCCCTCCAAATCATGTGATTTCGGTGTTCCAATCACTTCCATGGCCACAGGTGTATACAATCAAGCCCCTAGGCATGCAGACGGCTTCTACAAACATTGGTGAAAGAATGGGTCGCTCTCAGGAGCTCAGTGACTCCAAGCGTGGTCCCGTGATAGGTGGCCACCTGGGCAATAAGTCCATCCGTGACATTTCCTGGCTACTAAATATTCCACGCTCAACTGTTAGTGGGATTATAACAAAGTGGAAGCAACTGGGAACAACAGCCACTCAGCCACCAAGTGGTAGGCCACGTCACATGACAGAGCGGGGTCAGCGCATGCTGAAGCGCACAGTGCGCAGAAGTCACCAACTGTCTGCAGAGTCAATAGCTAAAGACCTCCAAACTTGGTGTGGCCTTCAGATGAGCCCAACAACAGTGCGTAGAGAGCTTCATGGAATGGGTTTCCATGGCCGAGCAGCTGCATCCAAGCCTTACATTACCAAGTGCAATGCAAAGCGTCGGATGCCGTGGTGTAAAGCACGCCGCCACTGGACTCTAGAGCAGTGGAGACGTGTTCCCTGGAGTGACCAATCACGCTTCTCTGTCTGGCAATCTGATGGATGTGTCTGGGTTTGGCGGTTGCCAGGAGAACGGTACTTGCCTGACTGCATTGTGCCAAGTGTAAAGTTTGGTGGAGGGGGGATTATGGTGTGGGGTTGTTCCTCAGGGGTTGGGCTTGGCCCCCTAGTTCCAGTGAAGGGAACTCTTAAGTTGACATTTTGGACAATTTCATGCTCCCAACTTTGTGGGAGGAGTTCGGGGATGGCCCCTTCCTGTTCCAACATGACTGCGCACCAGTGCACAAAGCAAGGTCCATAAAGACATGGAGGAGCCAGTTTGGGGTGGAGGAACTTGACTGTCCTGCACAGAGTCCTGACCTCAACCCCATAGAACACCTTTGGGATGAATTAGAGCGGAGACTGCGAGCCAGGCCTCCTCCCCCGACATCAGTGCCTGACCTGACAAATGTGCTTCTGGAAGAATGGTCCAACCTTCCCATAGACACCCTCCTAAACCTTGTGGACGGCCTTCCCAGAAGAGTTGAAGCTGTTATAGCTGCAAAGGGCGGGGCCAACCCAATATTGAACCCTACGGACTAAGACTGGGAGGCCATTAAAGGTCATGTGTGTGGAAAGGGCGGGGCCAACTCAGTATTGAACCCTACGGACTAAGACTGGGAGGCCATTACAGGTCATGTGTGTGGAAAGGCCGGTGGCCCAATACTTTGGGCAATATAGTGTAAGTTCACCAAAGATGTACAGTAGTTGTACTTTAATCCAGCTAACGCTACCAGTGTAAGCAAACGTTCAGTGTGCATAAGGACTAAATGTTTAACAACAATTCAGCTTTAGTAGCAGGATATGAACACTTAAAGCTTATATGAAAAAAAACATCTTATTTGCTCACAAATAATATTTAACTTACATTTCATTCATTATTTTTCTTAATATTCCTTCTTCATCAAAGGAACGATTATTTCCATCAGTCCTGCCAAAAAACATTACAGAATCACATAAAAATTTGACTGGAAAAATGTTAGAGTTGTATCCTATGCTGGATAAGCCTGAACTTCAGAGGAGAACCCCACTGAGTTAAATATTCTTTTATAAATTCTGAATTAACGTTTTGAACATTGCTATACACCCTTACATATTTCCAGCAAGTTCCAGGAATTTTTGGTTCAAACACATTATTATTATTATTATTATTATTATTATTATTATTATACAGTATTTATAAAGCGCCAATAGTTGGCTCAGCGCTGTACATTACAAAGGGGGACAGAACATGTGACAGAACAATACCAATACAATACAAAACATGAGGGGATCGAGGGCCCTGCTCTTTCGAGCTTACAATCTAGGAGGGAGGGGATGGTGGTACAGGAGGGGATAGCTGTGGGGGATGGAGTGGTAGGAAGAGTGGAGGAGGTCGGCAAGTTAGCAGGGGGTGGGGTAGGCTTCCCTGAAGAGGTGGGTTTTCAGGGTGCGCCTAAAGGAGAGGAGAGTAGGTGATAATCTGATGGGTTGGGGCAGGGAG